CTGTGTGGAACCTAACAGAATTGCGTCTTCCGACAAGGGAGACACGGCAGGGATTGAAGGACAGGTCAGACCACTGCTTTGTGACGTCTGCTGCTATTGTGGTCAACCTGACAGGATCTAGAATTACCCGGGCGATAAGCCTCTGGCCACATCTATGAATCATTATCTAGACTGGGTCAGTTGAAGTGGAAAGACACCCCCCCCATCTGTGGGTGGCATCAACCCGGGGGCTTCAGTCCTGGACAAAGCAAGCTGAGACTAAGTATGTGTTCCCTCTGCTCTCTACCCGCGGATGCAATGTGATCAGTTGATTCATGTTCCTGCTACCGTGAGTGCCTCTCCATGATGGGATGTATCTTCAAACTGTAAACCAAAATAAAACCCTTTTTCCCTTAATGTTCTCTGTCAGGGTATTTTTATCACAGCAACAAGACAAGTAACTGATAGAGTTATGGAGGGCTTTCTTATTTTCCCGGGAGTCTGCACACAGCACCGGGAGATATGGGGGGAGGGGGGGCACCAACATGCATTGGATCAAGCAAATTGCTGTTCAGGTATTTACTCTGAATTAAACTGTCACCTCGTAAGGAAAGGAGTGCAGCGTGTGGTGGCACATGCCTTCAGTTCCCAGCGTTTCCGATGCAGAGCCAGGCAGATCTACCTGAATTCAAAATAACACACAAGTCTTGAAGCTAGAGAGATATCTCCACGGGTTCTTGCTTTGCTACACACACATGGGGACAAGAGTTTGTGCTTCTAGCACCCACACAAAATTCAGAACAGGGTATGCATATGTAACCCCAGAGTGGGGGAAACGGATACAGGAAGAGCCAACGGTCTCGATGACCTGGCAGTCTAGCTGCAGGTTCACAGAGAGACCGTGCAAAGCCCCTCACCAAGGTTTACTACTCACGTGAGCAGTAAGAAAGATCTCTGGGCTGTCTGCAAGCCATGCAGGGATCTCGGGGACGAGGTTTCATGAGTTGTCACCCATGCTGGGGTACGCTTTCCTTTTCTTTCTTTTTTAAACTCATTTTTGACAGCTGCATGTAGTCTGTGCCCCGCATTCGTGCAGGGCCTGAGAACGCCAGAGGATCCTAGAGAACTGAAGTTAGGTTGCTGTAAGCCTCTGTGAGTTCTGAGAATTAACCCAGGGTCCCCTAAAAAGAGCAGCCAGTGTTCTTAACCACTGAGCCATCGCTCCAGTCCCTGGAGCAGGCTTTTAAACGACGCAACTGCCTTTGATTGACCCAGGCATCTGTAAGAAACCCCTCATCTATGCACCTGTAAGTAATGACAAAAATATAATCTGTTCAGCCAGCTAAACTGGGGTAGAAACAGTTCTGTGGTCTGTCATTGGTGCCTTAGCGGGGGCAAAGAAAAACTTTTTGTGTCTCTCCAGAGAAGTCACATAATGTAAGTCTTCTCACCCAATCCTCAGGAGCTGTGTCTGGCTACTCCTTTCAGGAAAGAGCTACCAATTAAAATTCCAGAGATCTCTGCTTAACAGTCCCACATCTGGGAATCTGATCTACAGAAATGGAAGTCTATTTGTAAGGACCCAAGTTCCAGGACCTTAAGAAGAAACACTAAAAACATTCTGAACATCCAGGAAATGAGGACATGCTGAACAACTACAGAATGTCCATACTACAGACTGTCCCATGCAGGCTTTCCCATAATTTTTTTTAATTGTGGTAAGATACACATAAAATTTACCACTCTATTCTGCCGTGGTTTGCATATAAAATGTTCCCCAACACTGATGTGTTAAACGTCATGCCCACTGCAACGGTCAGAGGTGGACTTTGGGGAAGTGATTGGATCCTGAGAACCTGGCCTTCTCAATAGATCTGTGAGTAATCTAATTGCTGGGATGTGGTAGAAAGCAGGAGGGGGACAGAGTTGGAGGACGTGGGTGATAGGGATGTGCCCTGCAAGGCCCCAGTCTTCTCTGCCTCACTCCTTGGTGGCTGCCATCATGGGCACAGCTTTCCTCTGCCATCCCTCCCACCATAGTGCTTTGCCTTGCTGCATGCCTAACCTTGGACCAAAACCTAAAGCCGCGGCTCAGCACAAACCTTTCCTTGAAGTTGGCATTCTCTTCTGTTTCGTGACAGCGATGACAAATGACTGGCAGGCATGTTCAACGCACAGCTCAGCAGCATGCCGCGCTGATTTTCTGTGTATCTTACCACAATAAAAATGCTGGGGGAAACATGCAGGGTAGCCATCTCCCAATGTTCAGCCTCAGAATGTTCTGTCTAAACAACTGAAACTCAGCTGGTGGTGGTGGCACACGTCTTTAATGCCATCACTTGGGAGGCAGAGGCAAGTGGATCTCTAAATTCAAGGTTAGCCTGGTCTACATAGTGAGTTCCAGGACAGCCAGGGCTATACAGAGAAATCCTGTCTTAGGAAGAAAAATAAAAGCCTGAAACACTAGAAGAAAATGGAAATGATCCCCCACTTAACAGAGTTTTGTTGTTTATTAAATGTAATGAAATATGTCAAGCACAGACAGCTTGACCCCAGAAATGAGCAAAATAATAAAACAGAACAATCCAGACCTGACAAAAAAGAGAAATATAGAAACAAAAAAATAGAGAGAGAGCTGGGCAGTGGGGTCACATGCCTTTAGTCCTAGCACTTGGGAGGCAGAGGCAGGCAGATAACTGTGAGTTCAAGGCCACCCTAGTCTACAGAGTGAATTCCGGGACAGCCAGGGCTGTTACATAGAGGAACCATGTCTCAAAAAAATAAACAAACAAAAAGATGTGTAGAAAGACGGAGGCATAGAGGTACAACAGATCAAGGGTTGGGGAGGGGCTCAAGGAGCAGAGAACACCCCAGCCAACCAGAGAAACTGATCAGCTTGAAGCACAGAAGTGAAAAGAGAGTCACAGAAAGGTGAGACTTGTCCAGAGTGAGTTCTGAGCCCCAGAGAAAGGAGCAGGGCTGGGGTGCTGGTTCAAGTAACAATAATCTTTACACTCTATAACAACACTGAAGACTCAGTAGCAGAAGGAAAGCAGTTAAGTTTACAACCTTGCTAAGTCAGGTGGGCATAAAAAAAAATAAATGACTTGCATGCTGATTTGGCACAAAATAAGGCTGCTGTTGCTCTATATCCCTCAAATAACATTTTCTTGACCACTGAATTTCTTTCTCATTGCTGAGTTCTTCAGAGAGATACAATCTTTCCTGCATGTCTAGCAAAATCTCCGCTTTAAATTCCTTCATCCTTCTGGGGCTCCAGAACCCCTCCTCTTTCCTGACACACGGCAGACTGTAACGTTTTAACTCTAAGATAAACTAAAAAGCACCCAGGCAACAGGGCCCAAGCGTCTAACTAGGCAAGACATGGGGACAGTGCCTCCTCATCTGCTGTCCATGGTGAACTCTAAATGTGCCTCCTACTGAAAACCTACTGACGGCTGTTTATTTCTGGCTACTCCCAACTATATCTTGTGGAATACTATTTTAACTATGTAAAGATGTGTTACACTTATTTGTGCTACAGACTAGTACTCTAACTGTGTAAAGGTGTGTTACATTTGCTTCTGCTGCCTTTGTTAACAGTGTAAAGTTGTGTGGCATTTGTTCTCGTGGCATTTGTTTAATTATGAAAAGATATGTTTCTGTTTCACCTCGCCTGCCTAAGGCACCTGATTGGTCTAATAAAAAGCTGAATGGCCAATAGCTAGGCAGGACAGAGATAAGCAGGGCTGGCAGGCAAAAAGAATAAGTAGGAGGACTAAAACAGGACCCTGCCCTAAGCCTAGACACTCTCACCACATCCTCCCTCCCTACCTCTGGGGTGCCACACAGAGAAATTCTGTCTTGAAAAACTATATATAAATACATTTATACACACACACACACACACACACACACACACACACATTTCCCAGTATTTCTGAAATGGCCATAGTTTTGTTTTCAATTTTACAGGGAAGTATGTAAGCACGGATGTGTATTTTATACTCCTAGAGGTCAGAGACCAACTTTGAGTCGTCATTCAGATGCCATCACTTTGTATTTTGAAACAGAGTCTCTCCCTGAGACCTGGAGCCTGCCACTTAGACTCAATGTCTATCCAGTGAGTCTTGCGGATTTACTGATCTCTCCCTCTCCAGGGCAGAGATCCTAAGTGTGCCACAAAACCAGGCTTTGTACATGATGCTAAGGGTGAAACTCAGGTGCCCGTGATTCCATGCAAATGCTTTACTGAGTGAGCCATCTTCCCAGCCCCCAAAGGTTGTTTTTATCATCAGAACTTAGGACTTTAATAAGAAATACAAAAGGGTGTCAGGTGGTGGCACTCGCCTTTAATCCCAGCACTAGGGAGGCGGGAGTTGGGGGGTGGATCTCTGTGAGTTCGAGGACAGCCTGGTCTATAGAATGAGTTAGTTCTAGGATAGCCATGGTTGTGTAGAGAGAGAGGGAGGGAAGGAAAGAAGGAAGGAAGGAAGGAAGGAAGGAAGGAAGGAAGGAAGGAAGGAAGGAAGGAA